ATAGAAACGTCCTAAATAAACAATGTGTAAGGCAAGTGTGAAAAAAAAATTAGGTAAGTAATTGCATACAACAAGCATTGGTCACTGGTATGAATTTGTCTGTGAATGCCTTCTATATCAAAATTGTACAATATCCAGTACGGTACTGAATGGACCAAGTAATATCAAAGCAAGCGCATATGTGGCGGTCAGGAGATAGCGAAAATTGTAAAACGTAATGTTACTAAAATATAGGGAATAGCATGCTTTGTAACATAAAACGTTGGATGGGGTGGGTAGCACAGGGGGGAATTCGTTAGTTTCTGATGCTGTGGAGGTACATATCCCTGTACTGGTCAAGCTTTCTCTTAAATGAGTCCACGGATGAGGACATGACGACATCCACAGGTAGGGCGTTCCATGCCTTTACCACTCTGTGGCTGAAGAAGGACCTCCTTGCGTCCAGTCTCGCTCCTGTCACACGTAGTTTCAGAGGGTGTCCTCTCAAGCTAGTAGTGGTGGCCAGCTCAAAGAAGTCACCGGCTGTCGTGATCTCACCTGGAAGCGAAATCCGTGGTCGGACAAAACGCTGGGTTAAGGGGAACTTCCTGCGATCTAGCCGCGTGCGTCCTCTCTTGGCTTTGTAGGGGTGGCTGTTTGATTGGTTTGTGCGGGCTAACTCAAAGTCGTCCTCCTGTCTCAGTGAGCAACCATCAACTAGAGAATTCGTTTGATCCACTTGTGAAAAACTCGGCGGTCTCGGTAGGATGCGGGTAGGGTCAAGGTAAGACTTGAGTACAGCCAACATTCTAATCATCTGAGCTACGGGAACCCACCGACAGCCGTGAGTTTGATCACATATGGGTCAAGCAACCTGTCCAGTCTACTGCGAAGTATGGAATCGACCAATTCTGAAACAGTAGGCTGACGAGTGAGTTCCGCATGAACGATCGGTGAGCGCCCACCACTATAGTAAGCTGACTGCCCATGCAGAGTTTCCAAAAAAATCAATCTAAAATCCACCATATGACTACCAGGCACACTTAATGATTTGATGCTTTTGGCAGATTTGCTGTCAAACGTCCACTTAACTCGTTCCAATTTTTTTAACCTATTGTCTCTTAATTTGCAATGATATCTCAGGAATCAGCATATCTCTTAAGAATACATGGAAATTAATGCACGAAGCGGGTGAGCCGAAGACTCCAAAGCAAATATAGGGCACTTGAGTCATTGTCTTCGCCTTTTTGGAAAATGAATTTTTAAATCACAAATGCATCCTACAGTGAGTGACCGATCTCATGAAATGTTGGCTGAAATTCTAAAATGCGTTTTCGATTAGGAAGGATTACTTGGTCGCGGTTGTAATACTGATTATCTGAAGACATATTCTTGTAACATTTCGGACTCGGCAGGATGTCGGCTTTTAAATGTACTTCTTTTCAATCTCCTGTAGGAAGCGTGCTCGGTAAAAAATGACTACTTAATTAGCATGCATTTTTCCCATTGATTTTCGATGGTCTTGGAAAATCAAATATATTTTATAGAAACCATAAAAAATATGTTTTCTTTTAGTCAATCAATAGAGAATCACTTCTGCTTTATATTTTATACTTAAGAAAGGAGTATAATTAGGTTTTAAAAAAGTTTTCTAATTGCCGAAAAATTTGGAGCCTGAGCCTTCGTTTCATTAGCGCTTAGTGATTTCACTCCACAAGGTGCATTCGTTCCGAGTAAAGAAAATCACATATTTTTCTATGCCAGTAAAGAGATATCATACAGACTCCATAAACTTTTGAAATGGATGCGGACCATTTTGTACATTTCATGAGGAGCAGTGGTAAACGGCCAGGTACGATGCTATGTGAATGGACATTTCGCGGTCCTAAAACGTCTCATAATTAGAAACTTTTTTAAAACCTAATTATACTCCTTCCTTAAGTATAAAATATAAAGAAGACGTGATTCTCCATTGATTGACTAAAAGAAAGTATTTTTTTGTTTGTGGTTTCTATAAGATATATTCGAATTTTCAAAACCATCGAAAATCAAGGGGGAAAATGCAGGCTACATAAGTAGTTATTTTTTACCGAGCACGCTTTCTACAGGAGATTGAAAAGAAGTACATTTAAAAGCCGACATCCTGCCGAGTCCGAAATGTTATAAGAATATGTCTTTAGATAATCAGTATTACAACCGCGACCAAGTAATCCTTCCTAATCGAAAACGCATTTTAGAATTTCAGCCAACATTTCATGAGATAGGTCACGCGCTGTATGTTGGTATGGCCAGCGGTGACGATGTCCACGTCCAACGTGCGTCGCACACTCAGTGTCAGTTGCAGTTGTTAAACTAGCTGAAGGTCAATTCTTTCGGATCCGTTGAATGTTAAGGAAGTGGCCCTTGGGCGACGGAACTTAAATAAGGCAGACAGCAGTTAAGTTCCTTGTAGTTGTCCGCAACAGCTGCGGGCTGCCTCGAGTGAAATGAAATTTGCATACTTCATTTTACGGGCGATTTTTGAACATTTTAGGTTTTTGCTTGTCATACGCACAAATAAGGCGACATGCACCGCGATAATGACCTGTTTGGAGAGATGGAAGGTACGAGTGAATGCTGTTGCAATGAAACATCAGCGAGAGGAGGCCATGCATTATCTTCTTTATGTATGTAGAACATCCATTAAACTTGCTTTACTCAGAACTCCCATTGCCCGTTGACCAGTATTAACTTCTCAGTCGAACCGATGTATTTATCAAGAATGTCTGGAAAATAATGAATGTATCTCGGGATTTTTAGACCACTGTATTTATTTTTTCGCAGCGATGCTTCGAGGCTGATCGAAAGTGCCGTTACGCCGACGGAGAATGGGTTTAGTAGATTGTTAGTTTAGGTTGTTTCAACTTCCCAAACTTGTGGTTCTTTCTTCTTTCCACACTAATCCAGGATATGTCATTAAAATCACTTGAATGCATGTCTGGATCTCATTTTGTTGGTCAGCGCTTTTTCTTCAACGGCAGAATAGAATGCCTGTGGTTTCACAGCATGCATACCCGAAACCAGGAAGTTGCAAGTTTCAGTACACCGATCGACCTGTAGTGGAAAACAAACAAAAAGACAGCACATACTTAAACTCAGCCAATGCAGTCGCAATCAGGACTTATCAAGCTAGTTTTAGTGATGCATTGAACTGCACCTCTCCATACACGATGATCATGGACAGTGAATTTGGGATGCATGAGTTATTCCCTTCAAGGCTTTCAAGGTCGAATAAATGAAGGAAAAGTAGATTCTATGTGTTATGGCTAATGATGCCCGGCTAATTTTTTTTGATTTATCTTCACTCGGACGCCTTTATGATGGCAACGACGGTGGCTGGAGGGAAGCAAAGTTGGGCCATCAAACGGATGTCGATGTAGCCGCTTAAGCCACCTGAAACCTCTTTCATGGGTGGCCTGAGGTATCCTCTCGATGTTGCAAGGAGTGCAGGTATTCTCATTGGACACGAAGCCAGCATACTTTACTTGAAAGAATGTCCGGTAGGATTAGAATTGTGTGGCAATAAACACATCGTTATGAGCTCATAACCACCATCGTAAGTTTGCGAAAACCTACTGGCACCATCAATTCGCAACAGGAATATCTTCAGCACCCTCACTACAATGCGTTTAAAACTTCATAGTGCTTCATTTGAACAGTTCTAAATCCAAAATGGTTCATTTTTATGTTAACGGATGCATCTCGGAAACAGTAGTCTTCGCAGGGTTTGTGGGTGGACCGGCCTAATTAGCGAAAATATTTATCCGTGACACCAAAACCTGAAGGTCGTCAAGGCTTAATACTGAAACAGTGATATCGATATTGCTACCAAGATGAGCAATTCAGCGCTGCGATGCAAAAACAACACTCAGATGCGTAAAATGTCCTTCCGACAGTTCAGGCAATAAATAAGTGGAATAGCGTGGAAGACAGGACACGGTCTTTTCAAACCACAGATCGAATATCGGATGGGCGAGAAAGAGTGCCTTGGATCAGAATTTTGGTACTAATTGCAGGCTCTGGGCAAGCAGATGTTTCTTGTCAGAATTCCATCTAGTTCCCCCATCAACTATAATGACGGAATACAGGTGAACACCAAGGCTGCGGCGAAGTGAACGAAGAAGACGGCGATTGGTTTTTGTCAATCATGACACAGTTGGAAAATGTCTATGTTATTAGAAATTGACCGCAGGAGATATTTTTGTGGAACCCAGGAATGTCAAAGCAATTCCTCTATTGTAATATTGACGTAATGGTTTGGGTGAGTGGCAAGCTATGCGAACTACTCGGTTGCCAGTTAATACTATTTTGATGGATGCGTGCTATCACCCCAGTATTTCACGAGCACTGATCTGTTCAGATGAGTCAGTTTTTAGTCATTCGTGTGCCAAGGTTGCAACCGGCACACTCTCCTGTCTGCATGCAAATTTCTCTCAAATCTCAAAAGAAGTATGTGCTTGTGATATCGGTAATTAACCCAAAGGCGAGGATAAAGTGATACGAAATACAGAACGCCGTATCAGCAATGTATTATGTCGCTGAGACAGTCCAGCTTTGAATCAATTACACCTGGCTGAATCAACATGGTCTGTAAAAAGAGCTCTGCCCTGAGTGTTCGTAGGCGTGAACATGTGATTCTCACCAACATGCAGTATGAGTGCACATCGAATCGATACCTACTGCCTACACTCCACCTCTCGACGCGGGTGTCTTGTATATTTGGCACTCAGCGTACGACGTCGGCGGCTGCTTGCTAACTTAGCCCTGACCAAAGAAACACCTTCCAAAAAATTCACCCTTTCACTGTGCTGTCGCACGCTCACTCAACTCTTCTTAGTGTTGCAACCGACCAATCAGAACCCATAGATCCTCTGCGCGTGCTCGTGTACATGCATGTGCGTGTAAAGTTGTGAGGGCATGATAAAAACAGCCTTCCTGGTAGTTATGGTAGTTCTCCTCTCAATCTTCGATCATAACTTGAAATGGCGCTTTCACAGGCAGAAATATTCGAAGACCAATTTCCCCTAATCCAGAGCTGTCCTTCACTGAACGATATACGACTTGCTCAGGATATAAAAGACTTAACAATAGAAGTACCTTTTCTTAAAGCGAACATTTGTGTGTGTTAGGTTAAGGGAGGTGATGTTCTCCACACCCACCGAGTGGTATTAGCGGCCCGCGTTCCCTCCTTGCGGGCAACTCTTAGTGGTTTTCCCAGGAATGACGATTATGCTATAAAATGGCCGACAGTGTCTCTCAGGTAAACCTTCCATTTGTCGGTTGTTCAATTCTACCTACTGTTTCTGCACATTCTAGCCTCGCAACTGCGTTCATTCATTATGTGTATACCGGCCAGGTTAAGTTGACAGAAAGTAATGTGAGGGACCTGACTATACTTGCACGAATTTTGAAGATCCCTAACCTCGTGAACTGGGGAACAACTTTCATGGCTAATCGGTAAATAACTTCCGATTGATCCTCTCAGACTGCCTGCTTTTAAGAGTCAATTTAGAAAATTTGTCAGAAACTTGGAACTTTGCAAAGTCTCTGAAGATCGAACCACTGATGGATACCTGCGTCAGTCTAATGAAAAAACGCTTTGAGGATTTCGTGACCACTGAGCACTTTGTTCGTTTACCGGCCGAAACTGTGCTTGGTTTGCTTCGGAGCAATGATCTATCAGTGGAGTCTGAGGACAAGGTTATTGGGGCCATCGCACGTTGGGTGGACCATGCTGACGATGTCCATGATGAGAGACTCAATGTATACGCTCCAGCAATGTTGAAAGAGGTACAGTGGCACCTAACGACGACTCAGTGCCGCAGTCGCCTAATGGAGACTTATCCAACATTTTGGAGAAGCTTCGAATGCACGTAAGCACATGCAATTCAGTCTCATGCATTTGCCTAAAAAGTCGTACACTGTTTCAGATTGTGAATTGGATTGGCAATGCAGACCATGAACAGTCACCCTGTCCCTTCAATCTAAGGTCACGTCAGAAGGGAGAGGGTAGTTGTGAAGGACCCAGGCACGTTTCAGGTGTGCAGGACGAAAAAGGAGTTGCTGTCGCACCCTGCTACAGTGTCGTGCGCGACGAAACACCTCGGCCACGTCAGGCGTTCTTTCTCTTTGGAGTGGAGAAAGATCAAAGGAGGTGGTCTGCCCTCCGTTGTGGTCCCCACCTGCAAGAGGAAGAACGTATTGCTGAGATGCAAGAACGCTGGTGGGCCTCCTACAGTGTGGTGAATGGTGGGTTATTCGACACCTACACACCTTCTTCAGCACATATTTATTGAAGACATTACTTGTGTGCAGGATTATAGGCCTCTCTCACCACAGTACGAATATGCTCCATAAAGCAGGAAAACATAGTTATTTGAGCATTTTTAGCTTTTGAGATTGCCCACTACCTTACCTCTGAGAGAAATGATCAAATTTGGGTGTTGGGCAAGTAAACCTTTTTGTCGCAATCGGCTTTTTAATAGCGGAGCAGACAAGTTATCAGAACCTCTTGCCTTGCACCTCATCCGGGCACTTTCTTTTTTACGTTTTCGTTCTTTCGGAAGAGAGCATTTTCGTGGTTGGAGGATGGAAAGACTCAAGACGTGTTGAGGAGCTTCTGGTGAGGGAAGGATGCTGGCGCGAGCGGGCGCCTCTAAACGTTCCACGCTGGGGTCACGCTGCCGCAGTCCTAAAGGTTGAGGCTGTCGCCTCTGCTGCGGCCTCCGCCACCGCTACCAACGAAGAAAGTGCACTGATTGGTGTTTTTGGCGGATGTTTAAAGGAAGGGAACACCTGGACACGTATTTCCTCTTGCGAAGTCTATGACGTCAGCCGTGACAGGTAAGAAGACACTCGTCGTGGTAAGCCCCTTTTTACCAAAAGAAGCTGCTCATCTCACTTGCCACTTCGTCTTCCAATAGTTGGCACAAACTGCCCAATCTGCGGGAGAAGAGGTGGAGTCCAGCCGCTGCCACCCTACCCGGCGACAATCGAGTCTTCGTTTTCGGAGGTTTTGATGGTTCCTTCTACCAAGCTTCCGTGGAATTCTGTCATTTAGCAGCGGACTGGCAAAAGCAGGCGACTTCACCAAGTCAAAATGAATTTTGGCTGCCAGCCGCCCCCATGAGAACCGCCAGGTCAGGGCTCGCAGCGACACCCTTTCGGGGAAGAATCCTGGTCGCCGGTGGGTATGATAGCCAAAAGCCTATTGACAGTGTGGAGATGTTCACGCCGCCAGACGCAAGTTGTTGCCTCGGCCAGTGGACAGAAATAACTGGCATGAAGGAGCCACGTTGTTATTTCACTCTTCTAACTTCCTCCGACACGATCTTTGCTATCGGCGGTAATGTCATCTAAATTTTTTTTAACAGTAGCGCACAATATCCTGCATTTGGTTCTTATCATACTATCTCACATTTCCAACCATATGCCTAATTGTTTTAAAACAGAAAGATTAAAGCACCCGCGTGCGACTCCGTCTGCAAATGTAACCTGACGGTGCGTTCGACATTTTTTCACGGCATCAGAGCTAGAAGTCGGTTGGGCCTTCATAGCGACTCCTTTCTCTTATCTCTATTCTCTGGTGTAAATTCACTTTAATTATTTATGATTTGTAGGCAACGACGACGAACCGAAAAATACGGTGGAGGTTCTTACTACAGTAGAAGGTTCAGCTGACATTAATAACTACTTGACATCTTGGACGTGGTCGTCCGTGAAGCCTTTTGGAACGCTTCACCGGATTGTTGGAGCTGCTGGGATTCGCATGTAAACGGCTGCGTTTATTTTCTTCAATACTGACATAAGATATTCTCCATTGTATGCACAGTAAAAATAAACGACCTGGAAGTACATTTGCCTTCCCTGTTGTTATTCGCAAATTTTGGAAGGTATTGCGATAGCCAACCCTTGATATAATCCACTTAATTAAAGTTTTGACTTACCGCTGCATGTTCATCGCTGGGACTTCGCCTAGACAAGGTAATTAGACGCCAGGACAGCTTGCTGAAGGCCACTAATCCTGGTGGCGATATCGACGAGATGAAATGCCCAGTATGAATGCTGAAATCCGACAGTCAGAAACGCGTCTGCATGTGATAGGCGTTGGCGGTGGTACTCTTGAGCGGCACACCGGCGCATAGTCATTGTATGAACAGTGCACACATCAACACCAGGCTAGTCAAGCCGTGATACGCTCGTGAGATGCCAACTGCATAGCGGCCAAGTAACTACATCCTGTAAGTACTGCAAAACATGAGCAAACCACTGCCCTTATCTTACCCTGCTTGTGATGTTGGATTTCAGAGATTTCGAAGCACTGGGCTAATAAGGCTCTTGTTTCATCGATCGTCTGTTCATCCACGTCCACCCTCCATCTTGTCAAATGCAGACGAAGACTGTTTCGCAAAGGACTTCCGAACTTTTGTGTTGCCAAATCTGGACTTCGCAGCCCAGCATGGAAGCACTGGGCTGCTAAATACCTTAGCGTACTCGAAAAAATTCAGCGGTGTACAACGAACTAGACAGTGGTCACTGCCCTACGTCGCACGGTTAGCTAGTCCTGGTCTCTTTCCCTCGAGGTACAGGCAGCTACGAGGTGACCTAATAAAAACTTTCTGCATCCTGCTCAATCAGGACTGCTGTCTCGTCGAGTTGGCGAATACGACTAAACTGCGAGGTCATTCAATCAAACTGCGTGGGACTGGTGCCCGGCTAGACGCTCAGATAGTTTGCAACTTGGAATGCTAAACCAATGGACGTTGTTATGTCTAGATACGTAGTACCTTGTAAAAGGAGGTTGGATCAATATGGGAGTGCGCTCCACAATGTCACACGACCTCCGCCGTCTAGATAACCAATGTCAAAAAACGGAGTGATACCATGACGCTATTAACGATATTTAAGTAGCGAATGTTTATGTAGTTTGTTAATTTTCGAACTACAGCGCACACCGCTGATCTCATTCACCATGGTGCTCGCAGACTACAAATCTTATTACTTTCCTGTAGTTTATGTGTGCTTCAAATATTTACCGTTTTAATTTGGAGAAAAAGATGTGCTAAGCGGACCGGGCTTATTTAGGAGTTCAGGTTTCGAAGAGTTCAATCGGCTCCTCAGTGTCAAAACGTAAAATCCGTTTAACCGACTAGGATTTGAATTGGCATGTCGAGTTTGTCAGCAACATGCTGGTCAATCTTCTTTGCCACTCACTGCCTCCGCCTCTGGAAGGATGGACGTCAATTTTTTTATCTGTGTGCTTTTTGAGTTGGCGCTTTGTCAGGGGAGGTGACAGAACCTTCGTCGGGCGGTCGGTCAGGTGATTCTTCTTCCCCTCGCCGAGTAGACTCGCGGCCGGCCTGTCTATATATGGCCTTCTTAAGTCGAATGTTTTTATTTGGTCCTGAGATTTACGGACGTAATGATGTGCCACTTTGCAGGCCGCCGGAGTGTCCAGATTCATTTTGATGGAATTGGCATTAGACTTCCACTCCTCGTGTGTTAGCCGCTCTGTTTTTTGTGTTGCCCGGCCTAATATGGGCGTTCGATCGTTTTTGGCCGAGGGCTCACCAACGACAGAAGCGTCTGCGAACCAAGTCCTCGAATCTATTAAATATCCAGACGAACTCATGGTCCCAAACCCCGCCCGGCCATCCCTCGAGAGACTGAGGCAGTGAGGGGAGAGGAAAATCGGCCAGCATGGTACCGACCAGCTCGACATGCCAATTCAGTTCCTAGTCGGTTAAGCGCATTTTACGTTAATGGCAGTCGTTTATGTTCTTGAAAACCTCAGCACCTAAATAAGGCCCATCTTTTTCCTTAAAGAAGCAAATTGGATCTCTCGAGTTTTTCTTTATCTGGGAATCCACATATATTCAAACAAAGCGTGCGATCGGTGATGAGAAAGGCGATAATTTTGGTACATGTTGTAGATCATTAACAGGATGGCATGGTTTATATTTTTGTTGGATGCAACTACGTTGCTATACAATTACATAACTGGTCATCTTGCGATCTGCCCCTCAATATAAGCTTTGCCACACACTGATGGATTTTCCTGTGATTTATCTCAAGTAAACACCACTGTGATTGCTATATCATCGGACATTTCTGGCCGCATTGCATTCGATATGGTAAAATACCTAGAATTTTCACTTATTCGCCTTCATTTTTCGAAGAACCTGACATTTGCGATACTAATTTCCAACGCATTACGGCTAACGCCGGCAATGCTTGAAATTGCCCATGCTGCCAGACAGATTTTGCAAATGAAGACTTGAAGTGTCGGAGGAAGTCTCAGCCGAGTTTCCACGGGCATCAAATACTGACTGTAGACAGAAATCAGTCTATAGCTAGGTACAGTGCGTGACCTATCTCATGAAGTGTTGGCTGAAATTCTGAAATGCGTTTTCGATTAGGAAGGATTACTTGGTCGCGGTTGTGATACTGATTATCATAAGGCATACTCTTATAACATTTTGGACTCGGCAGGATGTCGGCTTTAAAATGCACTTCTTCTCAATCTCCTGTAGAAAGCGTGCTCGGCAAAAAATGACTACTTATGTAGCATGCATTTTTCCCATTGATTTTCGATGGTTTTGAAAATTCGAGTATATCTTATAGAAACCACAAACAAAAATATACTTTCTTTTAGTCAATCAATAGAGAATCACATCTTCTTTATATTTCATACTTAAGGAAGGAATATAATTAGGTTTTAAAAAAGTTTCTAATTATGAGACTTTTTAAGACCGCGAAATGTCCATTCACATAGCATCGTACCTGGCCGTTTACCACTGCTCCTCATGAAATGTACAACATGGTCCGCATCCATAGCAAAATTTTATGGAGTCTGTATGATATCTCTTTGATGACATAGAAAAATATGGGATTTTCTTTACGCGGAACGCATGCACCTTGTAGAGTGAAATCACTAAGCGCTAGTGCAACGAAGGATCAGGCTCCAAATTTTTCGGCAATAAGAAACCTTTTTTAAAACCTAATTATACTCCTTCCTTAAGTATAAATATAAAGAAGACGTGATTCTCTACTGATTGACTAAAAAAAGTATATTTTTGTTTGTGGTTTCTATAAAATATATTTGAATTTCAAGGACCATCGAAAATCAATGGGAAAAATGCATGCTAATTAAGTAGTCATTTTTACCGAGCACGCTTTCTACAGGAGATTGAAAAGAAGTGCATTTAAAAGCCGACATCCTGTCGAGCCCGAAATGTTATAAGAGTATGCCTTATGATAATCAATATCACAACCGCGACCAAGTATTTATTCCTAATCGAAAACGCATTTCAGAATTTCAGCCAACATTTCATGAGATAGGTCACGCACTGTATTTGAGGTGCAGTTTAACATGCATAGTTGAACAGGGACACGTAGTATTTTGGAAATGCCTGTACACTTGACCATTTGTAAAAAGAAATGTATATGTATCGTGTTTTATTCGGCATAGGCTCTTTTGTCAGTACGTGTTCAAGCGCTCTCAACTTATCACTGTTTTTGCCAAGAAATGCCTTGAGATTAATCTCGGTTATAGTGTTCGCAGTAACGGTGCAATCTCATGTGGTGATTACCAGAGACCAGATCGCAAGTAACAGCGATATATGCTCGAACATGAAAAAATGTCGAGTGCCCTATCTTATAGCAGTGGTGGCTGTAGTGTTTTATTTTGAACTGTAACGAACCATGGCGCGGTTGAGTGCACAGTGCTGGACGAATCAAATTTGTAATATGTTAAAGTGCTTAGGAAATTAAAAAACGGCATTTTTTAAATTAGAATATCCACCAGAAAGAAGGCAGGGAATGCTGTGGGACTGACGGACGAGACAAAACCGTCCCAGCTGTGTCAAGTATCGGCGGAATATCGGCGAAACATACGAGGCAGACTCATTCGGTCTCAACAGGTGCTCATAAGTTACAGTTAATGCCAACGATGACTGGGAGTTGTTCAAGAATGGCCTTCTGCAGATCAGCAACAACCACTGCCTACTGAAGAGCGTGCGATTGAACAAACGTCCTGTGTGGCTAAGCAGCCAACTAAAGAAAGGAATCCACAGGAAGGAATAATTGTGGAGAAAATACTGCATCACTTGACAAGTTGAATAGTGCAAAAGCTTGAAGACACAGAGGAACAAACTGAGAAACATGCATATAAAAACGCGACAGGTACACGAGAACACCTGTTACGAAAATCAAAGTAGAACAGAAAATTACTATACAGCTACCTTCGACGATGTACAACGAACAAACATCTAATCTTCTTGATAAGGACTACCGGTGACGTTGTGATTTCTGATATTAGGAATACAGCCGCGTATTTCCCAGATTGTTTGATCAGTCTGCACAAATGAGGTCAGGTTCCTTCCTCAATCCACAGACGAAGTGTCGACCCCAATCAAAAGCAATATACTTTTTCACAAGGCGCTGTCCGAGGAGAAGTAGAGACATTGAATGAATCGAAGTCGTCAGGATCTGACGAGACTCCAAACAAACCTCTTAAGGAAGTTACCAATGGGATTTCTGTGCCTTTGTCTATGCTCTTTTTAACGTCATTTGGCACTGGAACATTCGCTATCGATTGAAATCTAGCGCACATTACTCCCACATACAAAGGAATTGCATGCCCATAAGCTTGGCATGCATTCTCTCCAAAACTGTGCAGATGATCATAAAAGGGTGATTTTACGCAATTCCTGGTAGATCATTGTCTGATATCGAAATGCCAACATGGGTTCCTAAAAGAACGATCCTGCAGGA